TATTAAAGCACTCGGGACCACGGTGGTAAAATGCATGGTATGGGACATGCAGGTCTGGTTGCTTCAATATATAGATTAACGGGTTGGGTAGAAAAGAATTTTTGTTCTCGCATTACATTACTCATAAAACATTCATAACTTTAATAATATTAATCACTTGAGGCCTTGGGCCCCTACTGAGCTTTTAGCTCACCCCTTATTAGTTGTGTTACAGGAGATGAGACAGGAATCTAGTGGCTGACTTGGAAGAAATAGACTGCTTATAAATAGTTTTAAACTTTTTAAGGAGTTGTTGTCGCTTTCTTTTAAGTGTAATGACTATTTAAATTATTTTGTTTAATGAAACGTTTTAGTTCAACCTAGTCACCTGTTGTTACCTTTAAGTTACTCTTTTTATTCATGCCTTGAAATTTTTTTTTTTTTTTTTTAATTTAGGGCGTGACAGAGCGGATCTGTAGAGGTGCAGAGGGAGAAGGGAAGGGGATCGGGGTGGGGAAGACAAAGGGGACCTGGGATTTTTTAAAAAAAAATTTATTTAATTAATTTTTTTAATGACACATGGCGTCCAGTCATTGTCTACATGGATGCCACATCATCAGTTAACGAAAGACTTAACAGCCAGACTAACGGATATATGAGACTGTCCCAAAATTAACACTTTAGGTTTAACTCCGGGACGAAAAAAACTTTATGTGCTAAATGTTGAAAACCACGAAACATGAGGGTAATAAACAAAGTTTAAGCCTATTTTAAAACAACATCACGTGATATTATTATTTAACTTAAATTATATACATGTATTTATTTTATATAAATATATCTTAAAAAGTGAGATACATCGACTTATGGCTAAATCATAAAATGGTACATCATGTAACAACTGTTCCAAAAAGCGGGAACACATAAAATAACATGCAATTAGCTTACCTTCATTATTTAGTTTTTTTTTTTTTTTTTTTTTTGAAGAAATGATATTATCCTCATCAAGGGGGTGAGGGAGTAGGCTGAGCTAGCAAAAACAAAGTTCCAATTCACTTTTAGAGAGAATCCAACCTAAGACCCACTAGACCATAATTCAAAATGACGCCTTCATTATTTAGTTATAAACTTATGATTTTGCTTTGTTTGTTGGGTGCTAGTCTAATACTTATGGATTCCAGAGCCCAAGGCCCAAATCCAGTACGAAGCCCAAAATTACCTCCATGCTAGCAGACAGCTCATCAATTCGATGATGAGTCATCCATTCTTGTGTGTGTTGCTTGTATTATACTGACTTCTGCTCCTACCAATCAATATGCAACACGTCATCTAAATCTCTCAAGGTTTCGCCCATACCGTCGTTGTTTCTCTGACAAATCTGCTGGCTCTTCCTGACAACCTCACCTTCTAATTGTATCACCAAATTCATACGACGAGGAGCAATAACCCTCCTCTCGCTTGGAAAAACCCAAACCCAACCTCCTCGCTTCTCCTTGCTGCTCCTCAATTCTCTCGATTTCAGTACATGGGTTGTCCTCCGCTGATACTCTAGTCGTATCTTTGCCTCCTCCTAGGTTTCTGTCTTGTTCTTTTCGATTGATTGATTTTCTCATCTGGGTCTCTTTCGAAATGGGTAAAAATCAAGCTTACAAGGCTATGCAGAGATCCAGGCTCGGCTCCAGCTCTGCCGGCCCCGATGAGGTCGAAGACGGCATGGTTTGTACCCTTCCATACCACCTCACCAATTTCAATTTTCTCCCCCATTTCGTCAATTCTACTATTTCTTTGCATTCGAATTGAGTTGCTTGCATTAAATTTTCTGAGTGAACTGCGTACTGTGCAATTGGATGTGTGATTTCTATGGAAACTTTGTTGAAAGATTCAATCTTGGTTTTTGGTGGGTGTGTTGTAATTATTTACTGTTTACTGAACTTGTGGTTATAGACTTATAGTATCTGATTCTCTAGGATTATGTGGTGTTCGTTAAAAGGAATTGTTTGTGTCGAATCTCGTGTGAATTGTTGACTTGACAACTTAAAACATAAGAACGCTGATTATTTGGCTCTTGAAATCGCTACCATCTTCTTGTAAATTTAAATGCTTTCTTTATGAAGTACAATTCAAGGTATATGGAATTGGATTAGAGCATTATTTTTACCTTCTAGTTTGTTTGTGATGTGGTTACCATTGGTTCATAGGTGTTGAGGTATAGGTTATGGGTGCATCCTCCATAACTCTCGTGGCGTACAGTGTGTTAAAATGTATGCTGATGAACAACAAGCTTTTAGAGATAGAGGGTGTCTATAGCATCCTAGGGTGAACGGAATTCAATGGTTTTTTCCCGTGGTTTTGAGTACTCTCAATTGATGGGACTAGTGTGACCAATCATACAGTTTGTGGAGTACCTCTATGGTAATTATGATAATGATTAATTTATCTCAAGAATTATCGTCATTTAAAATTCTGTACATGCCAGCCATTTATAAAGCCTATGACCACCAAAAGAATTATCGTCAGACAGAGCATGTTTCTAATTCCCATTCCACATTACCATATACTTATATTACTTCTATGGGTATATATACAAAATGAAATCTTTGTCAATTTGAAGTAGGGTACCATATTAACTCGTAATTTAATTGTTGAATCCTCTTTTCTACTTGGTGTCAGTTTATAAGAGTGGTTGTGGTTCAATACAAGAAATTTTACTGTATAAATAGCAATAGACGTTACCTCCAAACGAGTTACTAAATTATTAACTCAATAGTTTCTAAGCCAATTTAATATTTGGTGGAGAACATAATTACTGCGGATATGAATTTTAGGCATAGCAGATTTCGTAGTTTGCTTAGCATTTGGTGAAATTGACACATGGTCCATCTTCCTATTAGAGAATTGACTCGATAATCCAATATAATACTTTATGTTTTATTTTCCTGTACTTTCACTGATGAGGACTGTCGCAGGTGGATGGTTCATTTCATTCACCAGAGTGGCATGCTGCTCGTTTGGCTAGCCTCAAAACTTCTCATACAATTACCTGGGAGGAGTATAAACAGAAGCAAAAGGTACTTTCTTCTTTCTTTCTGCTGATGGACTTTCCTTATCTATTTTTGCTGCTGTTTTCCATATGTATAGTTCATATAGAATTCTGCACCGGTTAAAAGAGCTTAAAAAAAGGCACCCTTTTGATATTGTGTGTTGTAGAGGGAACATGTTAAATGGGTTTGTGGTTATGCCTGATAGTTAGAAAGGTACATGATCCGATGCATTTAGGTTTGGAAGACTGAAAGAAGAGGATGTTCTCGTTGATGTTAGCCTGTAGTCCTAACTACTTAGGACTAACATTTCGCATTTAGAAATATTTGGGTTCAGCTAATTGAACTGATATTTGCTCGAATATTTTTATCTTCCTACTGTGTCATAAAATGGTAGGATTGTCTACTTGCTACATTCATTTTTATCAAAGCTTTCTGCATCTGTAGCCTTATGCAATACATGCAAATTTTCAGTCAGTCTTAATGTATTGATGTACTAGGAAGATGAAATTAGAAAGGGCGAACTGGAGAAGGATACTGATAGAATGATGAGAGAATACAGAGCTCAACTGGATGCCGAAAGGGCTCGCAAGCTTGCCAATGGAAGAAACCACTCTAGTAGTAAGTCCGATCGCAAAAAAGGTGGGTGTCCGGGACATGGAATGTAAACACAAACTATTACTTGTTTCTACTAGTCTCTTTTCTGAAGGTGAATATGTGTCCTTGCAGATAAGAAGGACAAAGATTTAAAGAAACGCAGCAGCAGCAGCAGCAGGAAGAGAAAGGTGCCCACCGCCTACAATTTTTTTGTAGTGGTGCGTGTGTGTTATGTGTTTAATCGGTTTAATATTTCCTCACTGCACTTTGTAGCATTCAAGAAGGAGATCTTCAGAGTCTAGCTCCTCGAGCTCATCCTCAGATTCTTCCAGTAGTGAAGACGAAGACCGAGAATCAAGACGATCCAAGTCCAGGTCCAAGAGAACAAAGAAGGAAAAGAAGCACAGGTCAAAGACCAAACACTCGAGCAGTGACGACGACGAGGCTGATGGTCCCGTGCCACTTTCAAGATTCTTCGGGAATGCGAAGACCTAACGGGATTATACGAGCTCCTTGTAGTATCTTCCTACAATAGGAAGATTAGTTTGAGATGAGTTTGTTCTTCATTGTTTTGCCTACATGATATATTTAGTTGCCTTAGCAGTTAGCTCTGATGAGGTTACTTCTTAGGTAAAGTGTCGCTTTATTCATCTCATTCGGTGTTGATCAATTGTACGAAAACAGTTCATGTAACTCTTTCTATTAGAAGAATTGATGCGAGCTAAAATTGAGGCATTTTTAAACTCTCATTCGGGTAAGTAAACGTCGGCTTCTGGCATTCCGGCTTCGTCCTGCACGGACTGAAGTGCAATCCATGTCGAAGGGAATGCCAGCACGGATTACAGATTTACGGTCGGAAATGGAAAAGAAGAACGCAGGCGCATGAATACGATCAAATGTAACAACAGACATCGGAGATCTTTATCGATTCTTAAGCTTTCTGTTCGAGGAAATTTTAATTCATCAGCAGTAAGCTCAATTCAATAATTAGATAAACAGAAATCAAAACCAGCCGATACAAACATCGCTGTCATTGTTCCAGATGATCAATAATTCGAATCTAGAACCTTCCACTTTCGGATGGAACATATTTACATGAAAAATCAATCCCGAACACCGTACAGATGGAACCTAGAGATCACACAATTGAAAATCCACGTGAATTAAATAGCAAACTCCTCACTGTAGCAGATACTCGGGGTTAAATGCAAGTGCCTCTCGGTAGATTAGCTCTTTCATCTGTTCCTCAGTGAGTGCATGCTGCTCAAAGTCGAAGCTGAAGGGAGTCATGCAAACAGGCTCATCACTGATGTCATGGAGAGATGTTAAATAGGGGTGAGCTAGGGCATCTTCAACTGCAATGTAGGGAGAACGAACGTAGTCAGAACAGTAAAACTAAATTAAATGTAACAGAGGTTCTACATAAGGTTAAAAATGTGATGATTACGATGTTCAGTGTTTGAGAACAAGGAAGAGCTTCAAAATTTCAGATGAAAACATACTATTAAGTTTTTAGAAGGTAAAACGGCTGATTTCCATGGATGACTGCATGAAGGGGGCGGACCACTGCCAAAGCATATTATCTTGAGGTTATCTTACCCACACAACTAATCACCTAAAGGCAGTGGGAAGCTGGCATCCTGTGTGTAAGAAAGCGGGTGATGGCTACAATTCTATTATCTGATAGGGAGTTCCGCAGAAAGGAGAATAATGAGGACTGTAGAGTTTTCCACATGCTTGATGGGTGGATTTGGTTGTAATTTGGAGATAGAAACTTTCATCACCCTCAAATGAACTCCTAGACATAAATTTTTCAATTTCAAATGATATACGAAAACAGATATTTTCTAAAATTCCTTCTCTTTTGTGATCTCATTGTTTGAACATGTAAACGTATTCAGTTAATATAGTCCAACAACATGTCTGCATTAAGCAAGCTAAAATAATCAAGATAACAGTACTCGATTTTAATACACATGAAGATGACAGACTAAATGGGATACAAATTATTCCGAGTCAATAAAACACATGAGAAGTAGAGAAACTGTGACTATTTTTTTAATCGGATTTGTGATCATTTTAGTAAAGGCAACTTACCAGTAATTCTCTGAGTAGGATCAAATGTCAACATCATTTGAACAAGATCAATTGCTGAAGGATGGACGTGAGGAAACTTCTCGGTAAATGACTGTCGACGGTAGAAAGGAAGCTGCCGAATGTATCTCTTAGCATTTTCGTTTAGAAATTGCAGCTCAACCTCTGATGGGGTGCCAATCAGCTGCAAGGATTTCTGATGATTAACCACACTGATTCATAGATATCTACACTACAAATGTACAATTTTAGAAATGTGAAGATTCTAAATTCCAATTCCGAACTCATCATGAAATGGTCTCAAATGTGACACATGTTGGGCTTATTATCACGTCAAGTGTAACTATGGCATGGAGGAGCTAATAATGCTATTCAAGGACCCTGTACTGTGACAAAACAGTTACAATAATAAGGACGACAATGATACTTTCTTGTCCATCATATGATCCTCGGTTTGCAGAAACAAATGATTTATGACAATAAACATAATTAAGCTACCTCCAATAGCAGACGAAGCTGATGCACGTGATCTCTGCCAGGAAATAATGGCTTCCGATCCATCAATTCCATAAAAATACAACCTACTGACCATACATCAATAGCTGCAGTGTAATCTGAAGAGTTTAACAATAGCTCTGGGGCACGGTACCATCTTGTAACAACATACTCAGTCATAAAATCAGTCTCAGAGGTGACTCGAGCTAGTCCAAAATCACATATTTTCAAGTCACAATTGGCATTTAATAGAAGATTGCTAGGTTTTAAGTCCCTGTGCAGAACATTTGCAGAGTGTATGTATTTCAATCCTCGGAGGATCTGATATAAGAAATACTGCACGCACAAAAAAATGAGTAAAAACAGTACTTGTTAGATCTTGAGTGAAATACAACAACGACAAAGCCTTATCCCACTAAGTGGAGTCGAGTGAAATAATAAAAAATAAAAATATTATGAATTTAGAAGCAGGTGACTCTTAAGTTTAACATACGAAATGTAATGGAAGAAACGAATGGGAGGGGAGAGATACAGTTCATCTTATTTCGTAACTTGCTAATTAGGTGCTAAAAGAGCCATAGGTCATCTAAGTTGCATACAATGCACAGCTTTGATGGAGCATAATATAAATATAAGGAAGTCTAATAAGAAGTACATAAAACTAGTCTTGAAACCTTCTCCATGGAAAACAAACGGCGTAGCTGAAAATGAGAAAAGCTTAAATGTTTATTTTCAAGGTTGCTGAAGAATTCTTATTACAAAGCAAACTTTCCTCTTGGTCAATTTCATCCAATAATTTTTTATCTTTATCAATGAGAACAACTAGAGGAACGATCTGTTTCACAACAACTGTCCAAATGGTCGAGAAAAACATGCAGATGCGGCAAAGAACTTGTCTTTACAGACTTTTAACCCGAAAAGGCACAAATTATCAATTTTACATAGAATGCTAACACACTGGTGTCAAGATTGACTTTAGTTTCAAGTAAGAACTCGTCTTTAGTTTCAAACAAAATATCGAAAATGCTAGCATTTAGAAGAGAAGGGGCAGAACCTGACAGTGCTCCTCGGAGAGTGCTTGATTGGATCGAATGATTTGGTGGAGGTCAGTGTCCATGAGCTCATATGCAATGTAAACATCATTGAAGGAGTTCCTCTGCGGTGGAGGGACTATATCCCGAATCGCAACAACATTCTCATGATCCATATGCCGCAGCAGTTTGATCTCCCTCAGCGTCCTCTTCGCATCGATCCTGTTGTCGAATGCATTCGCAATCTTCTTTATTGCAACGTGTTCGTTCGTCTCCGAATTCAAAGAAGAGCTATTTGTTTTGCAATTTCTCACGATTAATCAATCATTCAATCCGATTTAATTTTCCCCAAATGATGAATCTTTTGAATTTTCTTTTCACAAAGAGAGGAAATTTGAAACAAACAAAAATGAAGAGATGGAAGAAATAGAGAGTGAGAGAGAGAGAGAGAGGAGAGATACAGACCAAACGATGCCGTACGCGCCTTTACCGATGGGCATGATGGGGGGCTTGTACTTGGCGGTGACCTCGAAGACGTTGCCGAAGATGTTGTACTGAATGAATCGGCCGCCGTGGCTGAGCGTGGCCGGAATGCTCTCCACTCCCCCCATGGCCTGATGCGGCGGTGGCGGATGTTGCTGTGGGTGGTTGGGGTCCGGATGCGACGGTGGCGCCGCCTCCGACATCACAGTGTCCGCCGATTGAGCTGCGGGCCCTCCTCCCTCCATTTGTGAATCGATTCTCTTTCTCTGCTTTATGTTTTATCTTCTGTCGTTGGGTTGGTTGTAGTAAATGGCAGTTCAGAAGCTCAGGCTCTGAGCCCTAATTAATAAACAAGAAGAGAGGATGCGGAGAGAGAGAGTTACCCCTTATGTATTTGTACGTAAGCGTATGTGTATGGTTGATGATTGTAGAGAGAGAAAGAGGAGAGAGAACGAGGAGAGAGGGATGGTATAATTGTAAAAGAATAGTTTCATGGGAACTTGACTCGTGGAATTAAGTGGTTTTTGTTGGTTATGTGTGCCGTGCGTCTTCCGTTGGCTTCGCTATGTTTTCTACCCATTTTGTCATACACATCACATCTAACCAAATCTCCTATTTTTTTTTTTTTTAAATAAGATGTCAAAATCTTAGATGAAATATCACTGTGTATATTTGACATCAAAATTTTTTTTAATCGAAATGTTATTTGCTGACTAGATTTGAAGGTTTAGTGATTTGAAGTTAAATTTAACATCAATGTTAAATTTATTTTTATTTTAATTATGGATCCCTTATTTTACTAACATTTCAACCAACAAAAATTTTGTTTCAACATTTTTTAATAATTACAACTATTTAAAGATCTATTTAAATAATAAAATAACATTCTACAATTCGGTTGGATAAGTATAAATTTGACATAAGATTTCAGACTGTCACATCAACCATCAATTATAATTTGACTCTTATAAATTTGACAAAAAGATGTTGTAAATGAATAGTACCATGAGTGACTTTTTAAAGTAAAAATATCATTTTCGTTAAAAGTGAACAATACCGAAAGTGTTTCACTGAAACTCCCTTTATTTAATAACCTTAATATTAATACTATGTTTCAATAAGAAAATTTAAGATTATTGAGGAGAGAAATGCTAAGTAGACTCTTTCAAGCGGGGGTCTTTATGAACTTTCTGACATCTCATAGTTTAACGTCAATTTCGCACCAACATTAAAAAAAATTGTGTCAAAAATATGAGGTAACATAGAGTTTACAGAGGGCTACACTTTTGAAGGAGTCTTCTTAGAGCATTCCCAACGAGGGCTTTATCCTCCCTGAGGCTACTACATTTGTAACTCCAGTGAAAATTTCTGTCTCTAATGAGTTGAAAAAATGGGGCTATATCTACTACAAGGGCTAGCAACTTCATTCATTTGGTAGCAAAAAATTAGGCTACTTCTAGCCCAAAAAGCAGGGACCCACACCAAATTAAGAGCACAGTCTTTGTTTTTTGTTTTTTTTTGTTTTTTTTTTTTTAAGTTTAAAAATGACTGGGCCCCAATTCGAATTCTAAAACATGATTTTAAAGGTTATTTTTCAACCATTAATGATATGAAAGGTTTATTTTTAACTGTTTGTTAGATTAAGAATACATAAAACAACGGCTATTTTTTGTGTGTTAATGATTAGGAAAAAAATTGTTATGCTTTGTGATTGATTTTCTAGATTGAAAGGTTCATTTAAAAAAAAAAGAAGTGATTGAATATAACTTTGGTAGTATAGAGACCTAAACCACAGATATAAACAAACAATATACCTAAATTGTAAGGGCATTCCAATTTTGTTATTTGAAAGCACAAACAAGCAAATAAACTTAAATTGTAAAGTCATTACAATGTAGTTATTTAAATGCTACAAATACAAGACTTAGCTTCTCTGTGCATGAGATTAAGGTAAGAGAGAACATAACCAACAATGCATAAGTGATGAAATTTAATTTTGTCAGAATTTGAAATTTTTTTAGGTTGAAAGTTCATAAACATTACAGATAACATGTACAAAAATCAACTTAAGAAAAGCTAAAACAAAAATAAATTGATTGCGTAATCAAATGACTACATAAATAAATATGTAGCTGTGACAACCCATCCCTAAAATTTCGTGTTTATTTATTTTAATTGAGCGAATTGACAAAAATACCCTAGAGGCAAGGATTTTGACTTCTGTTGACCATCGTCTAGAGGAATGTATGACTTATTCTTTTGGCGTATTTGTGTAATACTCGTTGGTACGGATATTTGAAGTTGTTTCACTAAATTATAGATTTAAAGGAAAATAAACTCCCACCATGTGGGAATTGTAACCAATTAGAAATTAGGGAGGAAGGAGTGGACCAATTAGATGAATAGGAGGGTAGCCAATCAAGAGGGTCTCGTGCACTCCATGAACCCAGGTATGATCCGGCCAAAATTCCGACCAATTTCTACCATTTTTCAGTTGAATTTCCCACATCCATCACCTGCAATCTACTCCACCACCTTCCCTCTACCATCTCCATCCAAATGTAAGGGTTTTTAGGCTCTAACCTGTGAGGAATTTCACCGGAGCACCGAAGGTGCTCGACGATAATTCCTCCATTCCGGCGAGTTCCACCACCTAAAACTACCCTTAATCAACTTCCCTTGGGCCCAAGAACAAGACCCAACTAGTGGTAGAGACGTTGGAACATCGAGGAAGGAGAATCTAAGTTCACCCATTTTAAGGTTCCGGCGGGTTTGAGTGAAATTGGAGCCTTTCCCGGCCAAATTGGACTTGGTCACAGGTATAAAATTTTCTCTACTCCTTGAGATCTTCATTTCTATAAAATTTGAGAATTTTTGGAGATAGTTGAATTTTTCAGCGAATCGGGACGGCCGACTGCTGTGTGTGGCGGCGCGTGAGCCGAGTCACCACCTGACCTTTCTAAGCTAAGTTTGACACCCCAATTCTATAGGTGAAGTCCGATTGATGAAATCTCATCGTTTGAGCATAGTTTTGATAAAGACTGCTACTTGAATATTATGTGAATTGACGATCCGACCATGGCATCGTCACCAAACTTTAATACATTATAGTATGTAATATTTGAGGATATTAGAAACTTACAGATTGGGAATCTGACGTATGAATCTTCCAGAATTGGATTTGTAAGTGCGTAAAATAAAACGTTGACCGCCACTTGAATTGACAATTGGCGAAGATCCAACCGTTGGATCGTAATGAAACTTTAGTATGATGTTTTAGAAGAAAAATGTGGATCTTTGGAAGTTACGGATCGAAATTTGAGATGTGGATCTTTCAGATTGAGTTATGTAGCGTTGTGGACCCTACAGTTGATCTTTGACTGACGATTGACTTTTGGTCAATAAGTCTCAAATCATTCTAGAACGTCATTGGGATGTGTTTTATGTAAGTTATGTGTTTTACTGATAAGAGTTCTGACACATGACTTAATAATTGTTCTAAGTGAAGATCGTTCGTGACGTCTCGATATTCGTGCTAGGGAGTTGTAACGCGGACCTCAGATGAGTAGGTCTTTTCCTTTTATCATATGTAAATCATTGATAGTTCCACAAAACGCTTTTAAATTGATTTATGCATTTTATGCCATGTCATAAATATATATTTGTATATTCTAAAGTACTATGATATGGTTGAGTTTTAGATTGCATTATGGTATAACCATATGCATATTACCTACATATAATTGTTGTGAATGCCTTGAAGTGCTAAGGTGAACGCGGGACGAACATGTAAGTTCAGGTGAGTTTATAATATTATTTGAAATGATTAAGTTAAGGCATGACTTGTATTAATGTTTTGTGCAACTCTAACACTGTCGTACATGTTGCAATGATAGGCAACTTCAACATTGTCGTACAGGTTGCAATGATTGGCAACTCCGACTCAGGTGTTATCATGGATTGATTTATGAGTGGTACATGTTGCATTAGGCAACTCCAACTCAGGTGTTATCATGGATTGATTTATGAGTCGTATAGGTTGCGTTAGACAACTCTGACTCGTGGGTTACTATAGATTGATGAGCACTTGATGTATATTTTTGTTGCCGATACGTAGTGATTTGGAATATTCTTGGATTTATTTTTGATTACATTTGATTTCATACTTATGTGTAGTATGATTTCCTGGAACCTATACAGGTATTACAGCGAAGGGTTATATCGTTTAAAAGGTCTTTATTAAAGCTTTATATTCAGACCCGCTCACTCTTGTTTTTATCCCTCCAGGTTCTAGTAGCAGAGTTTTCGTATCGACGAGGATTTGTGGCAAGTCTTGGTATTGAGGATTACCTTCAATTGTATGATTTTCAATCCACTCTACTGTACTTTACTTATGCTCTGACGTTATGTGTGAAATTGGGTCATTTTCTCTCACAGCGCACTCTCGTGTTTAGGCACTTTAGGGGTTAAATTTATTCACATATTTCACATCACCACACTTTATGGTTTCGTCACCTTCCAGGTGTCGGCCAACACATCTCAATTCGAAGTCCTAGTGGACAATCCAGGTCGGGATGTGTCATAGCCCCATTTAGAGCTAGAAAGGTATATATCCCCTCTTTGGGAGAGATTCTTTTTAAGAGTCCCAAAGATTCCTCAAAACTCTAAATGGCTATATCCACCACTTTTCCAGCCTCATATAGACCCCTCGTTAGCGCTGCTCTTAGCATTTCTCAAACTAAGGAATTTCAAAATGACAGAAATAGAAATGCCGAATTTTATTTTATAAAATTTGTGAATTTTATTGTTTAGCTAACCTAAAAGAACAAGGAAATTTGAAAAAGGAATTTTTTATTTTTAAACTATGCCTCATAGAAATTTGGGAATGACACATATTTACATGGAATTGAAAACTGAGAATTGGAGGTCCCAAATATCAATTTTTTTTTTACATACAAAAATTATAATTTTTATGTTTATAAATCCAAACAAAAGAATTGATGCATGTCAAACTTTTGTCAAAATTCTAAATTTATATCCCTCATCCAAATATAATATAAAGCACACTTAATAAGTTTTAGAAAATTCAACTTCACTAAAAAAAAAAAAAAAAAAAAAAAACACTATTGTTTGAATAAACACAACAGACATGAACTTAATCAAGTGGACTAAAATAGTGTGGGAGCTTCGCTTGTCGCTCAACTTTCCTATCCCTCTAGTTTAAATTATCTCATTGTTTTTCTTTATAATTTCCAGAGAACTATACTATCTAAGTATATAACCCCTCATTGGAAGAGATTCTTTTTTAAAGCCTCAAAGATTTCTCAGAGCTCTAAATTAGGTTATATTCACCACTTTTCCAACTCCTTATAGAACTTTTCATTGGGGATGCTCTTAGCATTTCTCAAACTAGGAATTACAAAATGACTCAAATAGAAATGTCGAATGAATATGGAAAATTTTAGTTTTAAACTA